CCATCAATTACTACCAGAACACTGAGATAGATGACATTTCAGGTGGTGAAAGTCAGCACAGCACAGTTATATTTGTCCCCTGGTACAATGTATGGAAGCAAATCCCTTTCAGGACTTCCCAGTCAGGATTTCACCCAAATCCAAAAGTTTGTTTAAATTTCTTGGAGACAACGGATCTTCTCTGGTTCTTCTGCCTGTGCTCTCAGACTTTGCTAGAAATTAGGAATAAAGGATTTCTGTCTTGGCAGGTGCAAGCTCAAAGTACACATATATTTTCCCACTCTGTTCAGCAGTATTCAATACATGAATCATAGAATCATTAACGTTGGAAAAGACCTCTAAGATCATCGAGTCCAGCTGTTACAGCACCACTGTGTTCACCACTAAACCATGTCCCCAAGTGCCACGTCCACAAGACTTTTGAACACTATCAGGGATGATGATTACATCACTTCCCAGGGTAGCCTGTTCCAGAGCCTGACCACCTTTTCAGTGGACAGATTTTTCCCAGTATGTAATCTAAACCTCTTCTGGTGCAACTTCAGGCCATGTCCTATACCTTGAACATAGTATTACTTTAGCTGTCCCTGGTTTACATTTCCCCTTCCCTTCCATAGATTCTTACAACTGCGCCTGTGGTTCCTAGGCAATAAATTACAGTGCTGCATCCAAGGGAGGAAGTTTCCCCTCATGGTACTTCCTACCCAGGAAACACCCCTAGCTGATATTTCTGGCAATGGCTTCACATCAGACATCCCATATATAGCATGCCTCACTACAAAGGTATGTAACATAGGGCTTAGAGCTTAGGAAGGCCTAAGTTGAGACTTAAAAATGCTGATTGTTTAGCTAGTCCTGCCTGATGACTTCAGGGCAGCAGTTTTGCGAGCATTCAAAAGATGAAAAGGACATTTATAAATGTTTGATCCATAACTGTCTCTGGGGCGATCTGGCAAAGCCTACAGAGCTATGAGTTATATTTTTCTTATTTCTTCATTCTGTGATGGCAATCAAATGAACAAATGGTTGATTCTGCATAGCAATTGTGTGTAATAGAAAAAGATACTGATATTAACTGAGACCACTGATCTGTTAGTTCACCTGGAGGAAAGTGGTAAAAGTTCATCATGTGTCATTACCTATGGCAGTAGTCATTAAATAGTTTCTAATGACTATTGGCAGAAGGAATACAAAGAGAAGACAAATTCAAAACCAACAAGCTATTAATTTTTAAGGGCTGTGGTATTATCAAGACCTTTCAGTGAGTGAAAAAAAGTAGATCTAATTGATAACTCCAAATACATAATACTTTATTTATTTGGAGGCTGAGGAGCTTTATACACACACTCAACACTAGAGACCAAAACAAAGGTGGTGAATTGCTACAGGATGCAGTGGCATAAGGCTAGCAGGTCTGTGTAATTCTGATCTTTATGCATAAGCCTCAGCTCTTGGGCTATGCAGCTTGGATGCTCTGAGCTGCATGAGCTCTTGTTCTGTCACCCACCCCATGTCCTTCTTTACCGGCCCCCACCTTATTCTGTCCCCTTTCTTGTCATTCTTTCTGAGCTGGAAGTGAGCTGCACTGTACTGCCATAACAGAGCAACCCCTTCATTTGGGCCTAGCCTGCAAGGAATGAGGGAAGAGATTGATCCTGATAATGCTGCGTATCAGGGAAGCAAGCCAAGGTTTAAAGCAACAGCTGTCATGGCTGACCTGCCAGCCCAGGGCAACCATCTGTGACTGACCAGCTGCCACATACCCTGAGAACATGAACACAAAAACATGCTTCCCTGCTTTTGCTATACTGTCTCTCTCTCTTTTGTGTCTGTTTTGTCAAGTACAAGAAAATTACTTCTGTTCTCACAGAACTCAACTTGGAAAGTCAACAACACAACTTTTTTTTCAGCATTATTTTAAGCCTAGAAGACTGTTTATCAGCCCCTTTGGGCCAAGGGGGCTTGTTTAAGCTTCAGTAGTTGGTCTTGCTTTACTCCTAAGCCCAGTTTCAGAACTCACTGTGACTTGATTTTGATTTTGCCTTTCTTGTATTGTACTTTAAATGTTTCCAAAAGGGGATATGTGTTTTCTAGCATCTTCTGATGGAAAAAGTAAATTGAAAAATTTATACTCAAAGGCTGAGCCTTGTTGATTAATATTCCAGAAAAACAAGATTTTGTAATTTTAGCTCCCTACATCCTTTTTTCTTTTTTTTCTTTGAAATTAATTCCTAAATAGTTTCTAGAGTGTCAAGGAACAATCTGTTATGGAAAATGCAACCTCAACTTGCAGAAACACAGGAACTAGTTATATGAAAAATAAACCACATCACTTACCATAAACAGCTTCAGCAGCAATTAACTCACCTTTGCAGTTTGACTGCAAAGTATATGCTATACTAAGTTTGCCAGATAGGAGACCAAAACCATCTAATCTGGTTTTATGGTCAAGACCTCTTTTGAACTAAAGTTGCCCAAGTGGGGCATCTCTCATACTGACACCTACAACAGCTGTACTGACAGGACCTCACCTGGGGTTAGGACACCTTGATTTTGGTCTGGGCAGATTTGACTGATCCTGACTATTTTTTATCAGAGAAGGATTAAGGAATTATTTGATAATAATTTTTATGACCAGGACAAAACCTAGTGTATTAATCACATTATTAATGAAGTTATTGACACAACTTTCAGATGAATTTGGTATTAATTACTTACGTTTCTTCTTTTTCCTGTTTATTGCAAATAAGCTATTTCTAGAGGACCGTGGTGACTCAGAAAGATCCTGCTTTTGGTTTATCTTAATTTTCATATTTTCATAATCCTGTGTGTACTCTTTGATAAACCTTACCCAAGACAGTTTGCACTCTGTACCACAGATAGATTACCTTCCTAGTCAGACTATTTTTCAAACTCTAATGTTTATGCATTTGAAAAGAGACTGAATTAAAATAAAATAATAAATAGAGTTATTTTGATAAAGCCTTAATAGAAAGCTAAGACAATGTAAAACAAATGAGAGCTGTTAGAAATGAATTATTAGCATAGCAAGCTGAAAAGTTACTCAGCTAGTATGTGGGGGACATGATTTCAAATACCTGCTTATTTCATTTTCCCAGTGACTGTTCATGGTAAAGCAGTAATAGAAATGGCACTAGGGGTTGATTAATAAGACTTCTGAGAGGGTGAGAGCTCACATTCAACTCCCTGTTTTTAAAATATAAATTGCCTTTTCTTTTTGTTCCACACCTTGAATTAAAACAAATTCTTTAAGAAAACACATTGCCTGCAAGTTAGAATAGTTTTTCGTAAGTGAATGAAAACACTGAAATAAGTCACCTACAGCTCTATTTTTCCTAAAATCTGTCTGTGAGCATTTGCATCCATTATTGTACATGATTTTAACATTTATAACTATATTTTGGCCCAGTGTCCGTGCTGGTTACATGTATGTAGATGGGCCATAACCAGTTTGTTTTCTCCAGTAGTTTTGATAGAAACTTAAGAATTTTAAAGTTCTGTGAAAAGTGAGGATAGGAGACACTGTATTATATTTAGAGTAACTGCACTGTAAGCGTTTGTTGAAAATCTGAAAATTCAGCATATCATCAAGGTAGAATATGTTAGGAAAAAATACAGCCATAATCATCTAGATAATAAAATCAATGTGTTTTGACAAGAGGAATGCCTCATGGCACTATATTTGTTAGAAATACCAGCTAAAGCCATTTGCATACCTTCTGAATACAAGCGATCTAATTGTTGTAAAGTGGTAATAGAAACATGCCTGGAAATATACTTAGCATTCTTTACAGGGTTTAATCGAGATATAAGCATTTAACAGCAAATGTTTCTTCATATATACTGCATAATAATCACATACAAATATTGATATTTTCTCAAATATTATGTTCTATGTATATTATCTTCAAGGCCTTCAGAAGCTACTGTTATTCCAAAACATACCATTTTTCTTTGTGGGAATACATGACTAGGATTTTCTTCTTCTTGCCTAAGAGTCATGATCATAGCATTGGTAATTTCAGGAAACTATGAATACACTTCGTGCACTAAAATTGGATATGTCTTTATGTAAGTGTTTGGCATGTACAAATAACCTAGACATACTATTTTATCACAGGCTTCACTGGAAATTGTTAACTATCCAAGGACACTGTCAAACTGAACTTATATCCATTTCTGTAATTTTCTTTTGATAGAAATTCAGGCCTGTACTGCTCTGCCAACAATTACTAAAAGTACATAACTTGTAGAAGTAGCTCATTGCTGTAGAAGAAAACAAGAACCCTAGGGAAGACATGGATGTGTATTAAAATGAGATGAACATGTTCCTGCACATGTACTATTTATTAGACATCTGTATAGCAAACAATTTAATTGATCTGTTCAGAAAAATATTTACAGAGTGTGAGAGTGAGCTGGGACACTCAGCTCTCAGGCTCAGGTGCAAAGCTTCATTTAAATTTTATTTAATACAGAGGTATTCTTTTGTAGCTTCATAAATAACCTCTATTAAACATATTCTTTCCCTCTTTTGTTAATTATTACAGTTTTGAGGCTGACTTCTGTGCCTGAAGTTTTTGCTCTAGAATTATGGCTCCCATATTCCCCTGTGCTGGGATTATGCTGTTTCACTGTGCAGCCATGATGAGCAGAACTATTAATAGCTCTCTCCCTTGTGCTGCACTTACTGGGCAGCTTGTGAACAGCCAGAAGTGCAGCAACTCAGCACTACATGTCCTTCTGTTACAGCCTTTTACCATTTCTCTGTTAGTCAACATACTTGATTACGAGTTGCTTTTACTGTGCTCTTCCACATACCTAGTGCTTCATAAGAAGAGGCATGCCACTCTGAAGAACACCTGTGGAAATTCAAAGCCCCAGTCCCACATTTAGTTGCTATACCTATCTGTAGCAAAATGCTTATTTTACAAAAGAATTACTTCGTTTTTCTTGCCTGCAGCTGGGGCTGTTTCCAGGTACAGTCAGAACTGGCAATAAGCTCTCAGGAGCAGCTACACACCCAGGACCTTGTTCTTCCTGCAGTTCAGGCACCCTGCAAAGCCAGAGCCACCCCTGCTTTACTCAGGTAATGGATAGAAGCAGAGATGGGGAATAAAACGGCAGTCTTCCTCTAGTACTTCCCAGCAGCAATCATAACCTGTCTCAGATCCTCACATTGACAGGCAACATAGAAGACTCATCTGCTCTGGAGTTCCCTGGAACCTTACTGTCCAGAGCATTCTTGGCCCACTGCCATAGGACCCCTGAGCTTTGGTCATCCTGCCCAGCCCATCCTCTTTCTCCTCATGTGATTGTTGAAACTGTCGTGCAGCTAGAATTCTATGTTGCCTACCTGCCTAAAAACTCCTGAGCTGTATCTGCTGCTGACATGGGTCTCTCTGCATCTTCCCTTTTTGTTGTGCCAGCTCTGGCTTTGCAGGCCAGTGTACACCCATTTGTCTCAAGACAAAACATCGTGTCCCACATACACTGAGAGCTGAAATACAAGTTTTCAGTCTTTCTTCAAGTGAGCCTCAGCATGCAGCCTGCTGGTTCTCTAGCAGGAATAATAGTGCCAGAAAAGAGAGTTTACAAATCATTTTTTGGCATATTCTAAGTCCTACACCATCCACGAAGACACAGGAAGAAATTGGTAATTCCAGGTCTCAAAGCAGGCAGTAAATGATTCTGTGTTTTTGACTTACAAATGTGAGAAATGAGGCACCAGTGAATCAAACCAAACCAGACACCTTTTATAACTTATTTTGAATTAATATCCTTCTCTCCTTCCCCTCCTACTCATGTTAGGTTCTTACTGCTGTTCATTTACAATGTTCAGCATATAATGAATGTGAGTAGCTTCAGGAAAAGAGCTGATGCTACTCACTGAAGGAAGACTGTTCTTCACTTTGGGGAGAGAAAGGGATTTTGTGTGCGGGACTGTGTGGGAAAATTCAGGGGTGGTTTCAAGACTGTTAATATTTTTTTCCTGTTCTTATCCAAAGCTTTTCTATTCACAAGGGAAATATTCAATTAGGAAACTCCTATGGAGCAGAGGGGGAACTCAGCAGGTGAGGAGTCAAAATCTCTGCAATCAGCACTGATAAAGGGCTGTTATTTTGACAAACGGGATAAAAATAAAAAGCATAAAAGGCTGCAGCAGGAGGCCTGAAACAGACACTGAGCACTCTCCTTACTTAGTGAGGATGTGTTTGCCATGGTAAGTCATGCATGATGGTTGGAGGTGATATTCTCTGATTTGTTACTGTTTTTTTTCTTATTACCAATTACTGTAGTTTGAAATGTGTTAATGCTTTCAAGACTTTGAGTGCAGCATTTCGATTCACTTCACAGGCCTTCTGTGTTGGAAGAGCGACAAAGGGCTCTGTGTTTCAATGTCTGCTCAGGTCTAAAAGAGCGTACAAACCAGATAGAGAAGGTGCAGGCTCAGTTCAGCACACACTGAAGGATGTTTCATGGGCCTGATCTTTGTTTGACTGATGCATCAGGGGTCTACAGGACATCTTACCTGATATTTGACCCTCTACTGTATTTCAGAGCATGTAGGATGGCAAATGAGCTGCCCAAAGCTGTTTTCTGTGGCTCACTGAAGCATGATGACTGGGGAAGCACATGTTAAAAGGCCACACTCGGCAAGAGCATCACTTTGCAGCATTGACCCCACAACATGTAAACCTAGCCTAAAATTGTACATACCCTAGGAGTTTTTACAAACCAACTCAAACTAACACTGTATACACACAGACAGCAATGGAAGAAAGCCAAGAAGGTGGAGGTAGTGAGCTACATCTGAGACATTTGCAGCTATTAGCATACTGAAGTAAATTGGATTAATTTCTCAGGCAGAAGTTCTCAAAAGTTGAGTCTGGATAATTAAACAAAATGCAGATCCACCTTTATCCAGCTTTTTTAGGAAGGCTATATACTTCTAATGGCTAGGATATCAGAGTATCCTATAGCTGCATATCTTGCTTCACTTGTGCTATGCTGTGATGTCTGATAAACCTATTCAGCTCTCATTGTTGAGGTTTTTTATCTCTAAAGTAGGATTAAAATACTTGCTACCATCCCCTGAAGCACATGATGGATGTGTGCACCTCAGGACGGAGACAATGATGAATTGTCTTTGTGAGCCAATTTAGAACTCAAGCAGCTTCACGTGGACTTACTATGCTCAGTAACATCAGAGTAATATCAATACAAGCAAAGACTGTCCTAATCTGCAGAATCAAATTGTTTGGAAAACACTAGATTTTTCCAGTCAATGTGAATGCCTTTTAAAACTTCTCACGTACATTTTAATCCTAAAGAAGTTAGTCACATGTTGATACTAGTCTGCTTAGCAGGCTATGATACAATATTCATTACAAAGTGATCAAAACCAATCATACAGATATAATCTACTGTGGAGACAAAAGCCCTGAAAAACAGTAAGAGATTAGCAGCTCTGCTATATATGGAGTATGACGGTGACAAAAGCCAGCTAATTATTGCAGTTATGCCTCAATAATTTATAAAGTCGGTCATTTCCCTGAAAGATCTATAGATCTCTTTTGACTCCTCAAGGGAAGAACAGATGTATCATAAACAAGAGTCTAGATTCTCCACAAAGGGATTCAAATGCATGTTAATGCAGTCCTCCAGTCCTTTGAGAGAGTAACTGAAAATTTAGATGGCTGTTTGAATGAGCATCCTGAATTTTAGGATATGTCTCTGGGTTCCAAAAAGCTGACTATGAAAACAGAATCTTTTTTGTCTCAAAACAGTTTTCCCTAATCCACTAATATGGCATAGACAAAAATGATAATAACACCATATCATACAAATGTGGCCTGAAATTTTCAGATCTGTTTAGTGTTTAAATATCCAGATATTTCAGCCTGACCTTTCAGAAGGTCCTTTTTTCCTGAAAATGTCTATCCTTATTCTTCATATAAAAGTATAACTAGGTTTTTTATTTGTTTGTTTGTTTTTTAACTAAAAGAAATCACAAACTATTTCGAAGGGTAATGCAAAAGTAAGCCAGTCTATAACATCTCTAGGTTTAATATGATTACACAATTTCATTTCATACTAATCAGTCATCTTTGCTATCTTGGAAAGCAGGCAAGAATGTTCACTGAGCAGTTACCTACCTCAGCTTTTAGGAGAGTATTGAAACAATTAAAATCATATACCAGTGTAATATGTGTGCAGACATTCAGGTGAAAGCAGTTTGGGACATTAAAGTGTTATAAAACCCCAACAGGCAAAGGCATTAGATTTCAACAGTGTTTATCAGAGGGTTGCTTCCAGGCTACATCTGGTGCCAGATTAGGCTTTTTTTGTCTTGTGCCACTTGTGTGCCGTGGGCTGATAACTGTATGTGCGTGTGATACTCCAAAGAGACATCAGGGATGCAAAAAATGAGCATTTACATAATTTTCTACATGGAGTTAAGGCCCCTTGCAATGGTATGTGGTTTGTCGTGGGACTTCCCTCCTCCCCATCACTGCACTTCAGCATGATAAGGAAAGACCTCTCTGGCAGTTTATACTTCTCTTCACCCTAGAAGCAACATAGGTTTAGGTTGGAAAAGATGTTCAAGATCACTGAGGCCAGCTGTTAATCCAGCACTTCCAAGTCCACCACTAAACCACATGCCTCAGTGCTATGTCTATTGTTCTGACCCCATCACTTCCCTGGGCAGCCCGTTCCAATTCTTGACAACCCTTTCAGTTAAGAAATTTTTCCTGATATCCAGTCTAAACCTCATCATTACAGGCTGTTCACCACTGGAAAGGAATTTATTGCCTTTGGATGAAGACACTTTCTTTAAAGTTATGAAGTTTTCACCAAGTTCATTGACAAAATTCCACCAATTTGAACACAAGAAATTGTGGAACGCTATTTATAGACCAGTTTAAAATTGCCCTTTTCCAGCTACAAGTTTCCCTAGGAAATGGTGTTGTGGTTTAGGAATGGTACTACCCAATTTAATGTTTTGACTGAAACTCCAAACCATGCTGCCTCTTCCTCGTTCTCCCCCTTCCCTTCACTCCCACCTGCAATAGGATGGAGAGAGAAGTGAAGGCATAAAAGGTGAAGATTTCAGGTTGAGATAAGAACAATTTACTAGAAAAAGCAATGAAATAGGAAAATTAAGAGTAACAGCAACAATACTAATGACAGAGTGTACAAGAAATATTACTGTTCACTGTGTAAACCCTGAAAAATAGACAATACCTGACTGCAGCCACTCTACCTTGACTGGAAGGAACCTGTTCTCCTCAGAAGGGAGTCCCTTTCTCCAGCCCCCAGCAATGACATGAGGTGGTACAGGATAACCTCCAGGTCCTAGCCGTGCCCCTTCCTGGCTATTGCAAAGACTAACCCTGTCCTATCCAGAATCAGGGGAGATGGACGTCTTTCTATACTCTCATGGAAGCCTCCCCTTCTTTTCCCATAGCAGAGAGTAAGAAATAAAGTTCCTCTTTCAGTTGTCGTATCTAAGGTGTTACAAGAAAGAATACCTTTTTATCCTCTATGCTAAGAATATCATGTTTACATAAGAGAAAATAAGAATTTTAATTGTAAGTCTATTTTCCCACTAAGTCTAAGGGTATGTATACTATTTGTTGCTCAAAGAATTCAAGTGACAAAAAGACTTGTCATGATGGCTATGAGGAAGAGTATAAACTAATAAAATATGTGTGATGGGGGCAAGAATTTATGCTATCAAACAAAATATAGACATGAAGCTAGACAGATTGAAAATTCAGAAATGTAGCAATATATCCTGTTAGTAAAAGAATTCACTAAGAAAAGGACTTCAGGTTATGGAAATCACCCTGAGGTGAAATGAACATCCACAGATTTCCTTTTTTCAGCCCTGCTGCGGCTCTCCTTTGATAATTTATTCCCATCCAGTCTCTAGCGCATTGTGCCCAGTCATCCATACAAGCAAACATAAAGCAAATAAAAACCTATAATAAATTAATCACGCCATTTCTCCTGTCTGCAAGGAAGAAGAAAGGGGAGTAGCTGTTTTCTCTATTTCAAAACACTCGGGTGACAGCCACATAAGTATTTTAAAGTAAATAAGTGAAGTGTAGCTTCATTAAAGGAATGAAACTGTATTGAAGTGCAGGGGTGTGGTCCAGAACTTTCACTGCACACTAGGCAGAGTTTTATTCAAAGTTTGCTATAAGGAGCTTTTGCTACAGCTAGCACAGGCTTACACATTACTTCTTTTCTGTCGCAGTTAGCTGTCTCCTTTCTACCAAACACCATTAATAGCATTGATGTTCCACCAGTGAAAGAGGGTAAGTTGCTGGTCCCTAAGGACGCCGTTCTATCCCATACCCTGAAAACCAGCCTAGAGAAACAGAAAATGCAATTAGCACAAGCACAAAATAAAGTAATTTGTGTTTTTAGCATTATCACACTGAAAAAAAACCCCATAACCAAAACAGTGAAAACCAAACCAACACCAGTGAGAGAAGCAATTATAAAGGACCCCAAACAGTATTTGTCCCAAATATTCAACTGAGCAAATTTTTCAGTGCAGCACTAATGAGAGGACCGTTATGGTCAGGATTGTGCCTTCACCTGGTTTTCAGGCATGCAAAAGCTGTCTGTTTTATGACTGCAGCCTGCTTAGCCCCTGCAGACGGAGCAGGAACACCTCATTATCAGAGATGGGAGATTTGCAAGAGGGAATCTTGGAGGGGATACACCTAATTAGACAAGACTCTTCTCTCCCTCCATCATCAGAAAGTGAGAATGGACTCAAGGATTTCTACCACAGGCAATGTATCCTGAATGAAAAGCATCTAATGTGTATTTTATTGTAGTATTTTCTTCAGGAAATGCACACGAAAGCCATTGTTGGCAGCCAGTTGTGCCATTGCATAATCAAGGCCAGAAGCCCTGGGGGCCTGACAGTCAGTGACTTTCACAAAATCCCACTGTTTCACTGCAATTTAGAGAGGATTTTTGTTACTTTTGCACTGATTACTTTCCTAAGGAAAATCCCTTATAATTTTTCCATTGTTCATTATCTTGCTGTTTATTTTTTTTTCTAAACTTGGTTTAGAAAGTAGACATCATTTTAAATAATTCAATTACTCCTATTTCTGTGCAGTTTGCCTTAAACTCCCTGTTTTTATGCCCAGAGCTATGCTCAGGGCAAGAGAAAACTTCTAATTATTTAGACAGTTTTGCTCTTTAATTATAGAAGATCTTTGGCTAGAATGACATTTTCAAGCAACGAGGAGAGGCTTGTTAAAGAAAGATAACAAAACCCCCAGTAAAAGCCAAAAGTCTGAAATCTTTATGTATTCCTTGTTCTGATATAATGCTACCCATTATGATAGTGTTGAAACAGGTTTAAAGCCTGGGGGGTGGGAGGGAGAATAGATAACATGAGGTATTGGAGAGTGTGAGAAGTACAGCTCCTGTCAATACTGATTTCTCAATTCTCTGAGCTCAATGCCAGGATATCCTAAGAACTCTTATCAGTTTGTTTAATGTTCTTGAAGGTTTGGCTAAATCCTTAAAAAAATAGAATCACAGAGATCTGTGGAAATGGGATGATGACTAACATTTTACATACCAGCTCTGCTCTCTTGTTTCTCATGCAAGGGTGCT